TCCGCCAATAAAAAAGAAAAACAAATTCATATGCGTCACTGGACAGCGACAATACGTCAAAGGATCCTCCAAAAAAGTCTTCCGTTCTGTAATGTACTGCTGTGTGCGTGTGGAAACTTTGTTTGAAGACAAATTTCCACTATTGACAGAGAAAGCTTCAAGTTTGGAAAATTGAGTTGTCATTCTCTTTCAACTATCAGATGACTGTTGTAAGCCCAATGAATTAAAGACGGGCCAGAAATTTACGATACAAGTGACAACACTTTTCAAGCTTTGGTAAACATAAGCCCAGGAAAAAAAAAAGAGGAGTCGGGAAAATCGTACAGTGTCTATAGCAACCCTCAAAATATTCCCGCCAAACAATTCGCACAATGGTAACAGCATTGGAAGTTGGAACTTCCATATTGCAAGGCTCTCTCTACATCTTTTTCACTCTGTGAACATTCAGTTCAACGTGCAAAGAAGTGCAGCGTGTCAAAATTCCAAGTCATAAATCAGAGCCCACTTTGGGACTGATGCTGATTCGGCATCGGGACTCTGCAATGCGCTACAATAACAACAAATATTGCTTGCACCAAGTTTATTTTGACACGACGGAGCCTGCCGCTGTGCCGTGAAACTCCAAAGTCCAATCGGTGGTTATACTTTATCTCGAGAGCAACAAAGCGCACATTTGATGTCTGTCTATGAATTAGACGTGCGCACTCGGACAAACTCACTTTCACATGGCAACAGGTTAAAACTCCTCGTTCCCAAGATCTAATCGTCCGTCGAGGGCCTAGATGGCCGATTATGGGGCTATTAGGCTATTTCAATGTTTCAGAGAGTCGCGATAACACTTCCCGCTGTAATCACGCCGTCTAAACTCTGGGCAGCCGCTTATTAGCATCGGCTGCAGTGGCTGCGTTTCCTGTTATTAGCGCAACTGCTCCCGGTGAGGGCGGGTCGCAGCCGCGGGTGTCATGAACCCGGCCCACCCACCCGGCAGGACCGCACAAGTTCCTGACATAGCTGCTATGAGCTCCTCAAAGAAAGAATGCTGACTCAGCACTCTCTGTTGAGTGGAGAGGACTATCGCTTGCAACAGGAAATAGAGCTACACCGTGTCCAGTTTCCTGTACAAAGGAGACCAGAAATCAATACCTCGACAAATTATTGTGAAGCACCTTCCATACTTCTCTCTCTCTCTTTGGAGACTTAATGCATGCTGCAAATTATCTTCACGGGTTGAGTTGACAGGATCTGACTTTGTGCGTGCGTGTGTGCGTGTGTGTTGTGCACGTGTGCGTTTTGCAGCTTTCTACTTGTCCACAGTGCACATGTGGGCATAAACAAATTCTCCACATAAGCGTTGAAGTGCATTTCGAGTGTGGACACTGAACACGAGGCTTCATGCTGTGAGACTGCTGCAACCACGCAACTCCTGCATCCAAATGGAGAGATGAGCCAAAGGAAAAAGTCAGGCCAAATGCCTTCGCGACATTGATATTTATGATGGCATGCGAGCGGGCAAAAATGGCCTCATGCAGCATTTCCTGCATTAATATATACAGCGGTATATGATCATATGAACTGTCTCAAAACTTGCTGAGACAAAAGCAACTTTTAAAAGAAAATAATAAAGATTTTATATTCATTTTTAAATGAATTTGACATGGCTGACTGATTAGTGCGCAGACTCGATGTGGCGGCAGACTGTATTGTGATTCAACAAAAGCCTTTGCAGGATGAAGGTCATTGAATGACAGCGGCGAGGACACTTTCACTCGGAAGGTAATTACCAAAAGGTCCCTGAGGATGGAGAGCACGCACTTATGGATTCCAACCTACAACAGATTGCAAAATTCAGCATTTGTGCGGGTGTTTTTTGAACTCTTTCCCCCTCCTGCACAACATCATTCGCTGCTGAATGTGGGGAAGTGGGCCTCACAATGCCGCGGGGTTCGATTCCGGCTCCGGCCTCCCTGTGTGTGTGGAGTTTGCATGTTCTCCTCGTGCCTGCGTGGGTTTTCTCCGGGTACTCCGGTTTCCTCCCACATTCCAAAAACATGTGTTGCAGGCTGATTGACCACTCAAAATTGTCCTCAGGTGTGAGGGTGAGTGTGGATGTTTTTTTTTTTTATCTCTGTGTGCCGTGCGATTGGCTGGCAACCGGTTCAGGGTGTCCCCTGCCTACTGTCCGAAGACGGCTGGGATAGGCTCCGGCAACCCCCGGGACCCTTGTGAGGATAAAGCGGATCAGAAAATGGATGGATGTGGGGACGTCTATAATGCGACCCAAACCAATGTTATTTCCCTTCCCGTGCAGTATGTGGTCTCGCATCAAAAAGATCCTTGCATGACAAATTGTCAATAAAAGATCTTTCAGAATCGGGCCAATGCAACAACGTGGCACATGCAGTACTATGCTGTTGGGATGCTCACATCCAGAGAGGTGACCAAACACTTGTTCTCCTTACCTTGGTGGTGTCATCATGGGAGCGCTGATAGCGTTTCCAGCGGCAACCGTAGATCCCGGTGATGCAAGACAAACACAGCTGGCGCTCATAGACTTGGAGGGGTTGGTGTTTGACCATGCTCCTTCTGTCAGTCCTGCTTCCACAAGTCAAACATCTCACAGACCGGATGGACGCTGCAACATAATATTAAGAAAACGTATCACAAATGCTACATTCAAAGATCTCAAGCCTCATATGTTTTGGATTTCAATTCCTAAAAAGTAAGGCCGGCTTTCTGGTACCGGCGGTCGAT